GGATCGGAGACCCGGCAAGCTCTTTGCCCACAGGCCAGCGGGCGAGCTGGATTTCAGGCGGAGCCCCTGCAGCGGAGAAGCTGCCTTTGTGGAGGATCGCTCAGCACATTGCTGCCCCCCTGGGGAACAGCGCCGGGATGGGCTGTTTGCGCTGACATGGAGGCTGGGGAGTGCCTTCGTGCAGGTTACTTACTCAGCTCACATCCAGCTTAGCACAGGGTGAGTAACCATCGGAACATGCCCCTATGGGCCAGGGTAGCGCCTCCATCTCCTGATGGCTCCAGGTCCAGACTGGCTGCCCTTCTGGTAGATGCTTTAGTCCAACTCAAGTGATTGGGCTCCAGCAGGGGGAACTGGGTGACAAGCTCTGGCCTGTGCCGTCCAGGAGGTCAGCCTTGATGCGCTAATGGAGCCCGACGGCCCTAAACCGCTACGACTCCATGTGGCCTTGGAAGGCCACCTGTGGGGGCTGTTATCTCAGGCTGGGTGCGGGCCACAGAGCGGGCCCTGCTGCACCAGGTGGGAGATGGGCAGGGCCTCACTGTGATGGGGCAGTCGATGGGTGCACGTCCCCGTTCTGTGACACCCCCCCTCACCTTGCCCGCTATAACCCCATGGTCTCTGTGGATCTGACTGCCATGGTGGGTACTTCGCCAGTGTAGCGAGTCAGTGAAGCTCACAATGCCCAGACTGTTCGATGCCCTGGGCTAGGTGATGTGCCCAGCTCAGCCCATCCAACTGGCAACGAGGGGGTCTCTATGCCTGACGTTACTCCTGAGCACTCTGCTGGCCCTTTGCTTGTCTGGAAGCCGGACACTGGTGAGTTCGACAGAAGCAACTCAAGGGGTAACTCCCACCTGAGCGAGTGCAGGGTGCTGGGGAGCAGCCTTGGGTGATCAAAGGCTGAGAGGAGGGGCCACATGCCCAGCCTTAGGGAGGAAAATAGCCAGCAGCTGGTGCCTGCTGGGCACTGCAGAATCCCCCCGACCTGACCTGGCTTCGTGCAGTGCCCGGTGCAGCTCAGTCCCTTCCCGACCGGCGAGTGCCACAGAACGGCGATGCCAGGAAATGCCGAGTGCAGGGAAACGGCCCCACAACCTTCACTCGGGCCTTTCTGAGCAACGCCTCAGCACCCAGAGCCACCCTCTGTGCTGTACCGAGTGGGGGCTTCCGGCCACGGCTCTGCACTCAGCCCGTGCCTGCTTCTGAGCCTGACCCACCAGCCCCTCTCCCCTCAGCCGACTGCTAACGCCGGACTGCCACTTGCCCTTCATCAGCCTCCCAGAGCAGGCCCAGCACCCACCTGGCCGCTGACAATCCCCGGGGGCCTGGCTAGCAAAAACCCACAAAACGCAGAGCTGGAGCCAGGCCTGATGGGGCTCCCAAGGGGTGTTGTCACAGACTCACCAGCCTGGGGCGCCTCCTTCTGGGGAGACCCAGCGTCGCAGGCCCTCTGCCTTACTCTCCTCTGGGCTTTGGCCAGCTGGGTGGTGACTCGGCCATCCGGCCAGGCCACACAGAGCGTCCTGCCCCTGCCCCTGCCCCTGCCCCACGGGCCAGCTCAACTGCTCCCACCCCTCCTGTTGCAGCCACAGGGCTCTGCAGAGTCCGTCCTGACTCTAGCCCACCGCACTGCCTCCCGGGGCTTGGTCCTGGCCTCCCTTCAGGGACAGGACCCAAGCGCTGCCTGCAGGCCCCTCTGTGGCGCTTCTCCCGGAGAGGTGCCACAGATGGGCTGATTGGCCTCACTAGCTCCCCTTCACCCTTCACTGCCAGGGTGAGGTACATACCACAGCACAGTCCACATGAGCCTCTAGCCTTTGATCATACACACGGCGGGGAGGGAGGAGGGGAGGCAGAGGCACCCACCCCACCCCACGCAGATCATCTCATGGTCCAAGTACAGTACTGCCAAGCTGGGCCAACTAACCCCTCCACCGCTCAATACAGCTTCACCTAACACAGGGCCTGCAGCAGGCATGTGTGCCGAGACTCCACAGCAGCTACTGCCCGCTCCACAGCGGGGCAGAGTTAAGGCTGAGTGGGCGCTCCCCTCTAATACCCATCAGCGTGGCGGGAGACCCCGCCCTGCTGGAGGGAGGGGTGTGTGGGGCACAGGGGTCTGCTGCACTCAAACAGCCGGCTAATACTGCCAGTGCCAGAGCCGGGCAGGCGAAGGACGCTTTACATTGCCAGCGGGCAGTGGCTCCTTCTCTTTACACACCAGCCAGGCTTTGCAGGGGGCACGCGGGCACAGAGCTGGGATTTGTAACTGGGGTCGGGGGAGCTAAGGGCAGGTCTGGGTGGGGTGGCACAAAGCCCCTGCTTGCCAGAGCCTGACACAGACTTCCCAGGCCAGCAGGGCCCGCTGCCTCCTTTCTTGTGGGATGGCTGCGCGGCTGGCGCTAGGCATTACTCTGGGGCAGCCACAGCTCTGTAAGGGCTGAGAAGGCAGCGCGGCTCCAGCCGCTGTCCCAGAACGCAGCCCTTGGTTTGCAAACCTGGCCGGGGCCCTGAAAAACCCGGTATTTCTTGGAATAACCAGCCAGCAGGACAATTAGCAACTGGAGGGGGAGGGGACGCCAGGCTGAAGGAGGCCACTGGGTGGGCTCATGCATCTGATCCGGGGGGGGGGGGGGGCAATCCCAGGCTGGAGGGGCCCATGGGTCTGATTGCAATGGGGTGCGGGGGGTGGATACCGGTGGGATAGCTGCTGTCTCTGCTCTGGATCCATTACTGCCTCCTAGCCAAGCCATGGTCCTGGCTGCCCCCCTTTCTGTGAGTTCTGGCAGTACACCCCCCCCCATCCCATTCCCCTTTCTCCCCCCCCTCCGGCTTGGCTATGGGAACACATAGTTTGTGGCAAGTGGGCGGGGGGGGGGGGTGGCAGCCGCACTCTGCATATTCAGCTAGACAAGCCTTAGCTGGAGGGGGCATGCCGTGTGGTGCTGGGAGCGCTGAAGGGGGCTCCCGGGCTTGGACAGCAGCAGGCTGGGGTAGGCAAGGGCCGCTGGACAGGAGTGCGGAGCACTGCTCAGAGCTGGTTCAATTCCCTGATTTTAATAGACTCACAAACAGACAAAGATACAAACTCACAATTACTAACAAACTGTCTGGCTCGTTTCCCACAGCCAAACTGTAAACACGATCCAGGCCCTGGCACCCCGACACCTCCTACTACACCCCTGCCAGGACCCACTGCCCCACCTCTGTATGTGCAGGGGGTGGGGGACAGGATGGACGCAGTTAGAGCAGCCCAGCTTAGTGGGATGCGGGGTCCCCTCTGCCCTGGGGGGAAGCTCCCTGCTAAGCTGGAAACTGATCCCTCTACTCATCCTCTTGGCACTGGGGATTGGCAGTCCCCCAATATCTACCCAAGGAGGAGAGGCAGCCACTCCCAGATTTAAAGGGATTTGAGTTAGTATGTGTGGGGGAAGCTGGGTCTTTGGCATTGCCCCACTGCAGTCACGGTGGGCCCAGAAGAGGGTAGTTGGTGGTGGGGGTAACAGCCCAGCTGGTCATATGTGGGGTGCAGACCCATGCGTGGCCATGGTGAGGCCCTACCCATTCCCTCTGACCTAGGGTGTCTGCTATGACCACCTCCCCGCCCCGGTGAGTAGATGCTCTGGGGCTGGCCATGCAGGTGGAGGTCTGCAATTGCTCTGATCCCAGGGACCCCAATTACCAGGTGTTCTCTGGTGTATAAAGAAGGTGTTGGAGGGGAGCAGGCAGCGGGAAGGGGACCTAGTGGGTGTGGGGGCTCCCTGCAGCCTCCCCCTTCCCCATTAAAGCATTTGTACCCCAGCCCCCCGCCTCAGGAGAGCAGCAGAAATAAGGCGGAGGATGCGGGGGGATTCAGATAAATCCCACATCCCTGATCAACATTCTCCAGTCACCATGATCCCCCCAGCTGTCCAGGTTAGTGACAGCTCTGCAACGGCGGTGGGGGGGGGGAACGGTGGCACAGAGGGGCCTGGGGAATTGGCGCTATAGAAATGGAGGATCCCCCCGCAACTCCTAGATATGTCTGAGGAGGCGTCTCTACCCAGAGTCAAACCTGGTGCCCAGATTTTAACGTCATGGATATTTCTCCCAAGTGGGGTTGGGGCCCTGGAGTTGAATGAGCCTTGTCCCTTTCCCAGGCATTCTCAGGCCCGCAGCACAGGTCTCCTGTCAGCCACGGAGACTCCCGGGGTGGGGACAGCTGGGATTTGTAATGTCAATGCCTTCCCCAAAGCAGCAGCAGCCCGGGAGCAAATCTCAGGGCAAACTTCAGGCAGGAACAGCTGGGTGTGGGGCCAAGGTGGGACTGGGAAATCCAGGGCAGAATGGTCCTGATGGGATCAATGGGGGCAGGGAATGGAGCAGCCCCTGGGTTCTTCCTGAGTGTGTATGTGGGGGGGAATGGACGGGGATGGCACCGAGATGGAGATGGGGGAGGGGGTAAATGCTCCTCCCCACCCCATTCCTGCTGCCCAGCCCCCATCAGAAAAGCACAATGGTAAAAAATCCTGTTTGCCCAGCCTGTGGGCAGAGCCTCCGGGGGACTGGGCAGTGCCAGCCCAGGGAGGGTGTGGGGCACCCACGCAGCCCACAGAAGGGAGCTGCCCGCATCTCCCCCAAGGCTTCGGGGAAGGAGCAGTGCAAAGTCAGTGGCCTGTGGATAGCTGGCTGCCCCTGGGGGGTGGGGGGACAGCGTAGCATTGAGGACTTCTCCTCCACAGGGGGTGGGGGCTTCTTTGGAGCATTTGCCACGTGCTGCCCACGTCCCAGGCCACTGTTGGGAGGGAGCATGTGGTGTCCAGCCTCCAGGCAGCAGGGCTCAGTCACTGGTCCTCCCCCAGTGTTGGGCGCCCACCAGGGGACACTGTCTCATGGGGGCTCATTGCTGTATAGGGCCCTGCCCAGCCTCCAGGGGGTGCCGTCTCCCAGGCACCTGGGTGCCCTGCAGGGGGCGCCGTCTCCCAGGCACGGGGTGCCCTGCAGGGGGCGGCGCCGTCTCACAGGCACGGGCTGCTCTGCAGCAGGGTGGGGAGGGCACTGTGCAGGGAGGCGGCCGTCTTGCGCGAGGCCTTGAGCAGCAGGGGGCTGTCAGGGTGCTGCTCCCGCAGATGGAGCAGGTGGCCCTCCTGGCTGTCGGCCGTGCAGCCGCACTCCTCGCACACGTAGAGCTTGGCCCGCCGCTCCTTGTAGGCGTAGCGCTGCTGCACCCCATGGATCTTCTTCAGGTGCGACTCCAGGGAGCAGCGCTGCGTGAAGGCCTTGTCGCACAGGTTGCACTTGTATGGCCGCACGCCTGCAGCGGGGGGGAACGGACACGAAGGGTTAGCACTCCCTGTGCACATTCCCCCCTCGTGCCTCCCTTCATCCCCAGGGACCTAGCCCTCCCGACTCCCGCCTGCACAGAGCCAGCCCCACTGCCCAGAAACCCAGTAACCCCCCCTGGTGTGTGCACACAGACAGACACAGCGCCCCACAATCCCAGCCCCAAGGGCCCGTTCATTCCACCAGTGCAGAGGGTGGAGAGGGTTAAGAAACCCCCCAGAACCCTACGGGGAGGGCTAAGGGGTGGGGCCTGTTGCCAAGGCTCACCTGTGCAGGTGCTGGGGCAGGGCTGGTGGGGAAAAGGGTCTAGGCTGCACAGGCACGGGGACGGAGCTGGTGGGGACGTGTCCCAGCGGGGGTAGGGCTCTCACTTGTGGGGGGCGGGGCTGGCTGGGGCGTGTCCCAGAAGGGGCAGGGCTCTCACCTGTGTGTGCACGGGGGCGGGGCTGGGGGAGGCAGGGCTCTCACCGGTGCGGGTGCGGGCGCGGGGGCAGGGCTGGTGGGGAGGTGGCCGGGCGGGGGCGGGGGCAGGGCTCTCGCCGGCGCGGGGGCAGGGCTGGTGGGGAGGTGGCGGGCGGGGCAGGGTCTCGCCGGTGGGGGCGGGGGCAGGGCTGGTGGGGAGGTGTCCGGGTGGGGGTGGGGGCGGGGGCAGGGCTCTCGCCGGTGCGGGCGCGGGGGCAGGGCTGGTGGGGAGGTGTCCGGGCGGGGGCGGGGCTCTCGCTGGTGCGGGCGCGGGGGGCAGGGCTGGTGGGGGAGGTGGCCGGGCGGGGGCGGGGGCAGGGCTCTCGCCGGCGCGGGGGCAGGGCTGGTGGGGAGGTGGCCGGGCGGGGGCAGGGCTCTCGCCGGTGCGGGCGCGGGGGCAGGGCTGGTGGGGAGGTGTCCAGGCGGGGGTGGGGGCGGGGGCAGGGCTCTCGCCGGTGCGGGCGCGGGGGCAGGGCTGGTGGGGAGGTGTCCGGGCGGGGGCGGGGCTCTCGCCGGTGCGGGCGCGGGGGCAGGGCTGGTGGGGAGGTGTCCGGGCGGGGGCGGGGCTCTCGCCGGTGCGGGCGCGGGGGCAGGGCTGGTGGGGAGGTGTCCAGGCGGGGGCAGGGCTCTCGCCGGTGCGGGCGCGGGGACAGGGCTGGTGGGGAGGTGTCCGGGTGGGGGTGGGGGCGGGGGCAGGGCTCTCGCCGGTGCGGGGGGGGGAGGGTGGTGGGGAGGTGTCTGGGGGGGCGGGGCCGCTGGGGGGGGCGGGGACAGGGCTGGTGGGGAGGTGTCCGGGCGGGGGGGGGCTCTCGCCGGTGCGGGCGCGGGGGCAGGGCTGGTGGGGAGGTGTCCAGGCGGGGGCAGGGCTCTCGCCGGTGCGGGCGCGGGGACAGGGCTGGTGGGGAGGTGCCCCGGCGGGGGCAGGGCTCTCACCGGTGTGGGTGCGGACGTGGCGTTTGAGGTCGAAGGTGTCGTTGAAGCCCTTCCCGCAGTAGGGGCAGAGGTGACGCTTGACCTCGCTGTGGCACTTGAGGTGCCGGTTGAGCATGCGCTGGTAGCTGAAGCCCTTCTGGCACACGGGGCAGGAGAACAGCTCGCCCGGCCCCTCGCCCAGCGTCACCTGCCGGGGCGGGGATGGAGCTGTCACCCCGGATCCCAAGGAGGGGGTGCCCAGTGACAGGGCTCTGTCTCCTCCCCCAGGCCCAAGGGCACCCCCACCAACCCCAGGAGCCCTGGGGAGGCCATCCCAAGCACCAGATCCTCCACTGCTCCCTTCCCCTCCCCAAACCAGCCCCCACCTCCCTGGACACTCACAAACAGGGACCCCCAAACACCCCCCACAGTCTCTGCCCCCCAGCACCGTGGGACAGCAGGGGAGCTGGGTGTCAGGATTGAGGAGCATTGGCAAAGCTGTGTGGGCAAGAAGCTCAGGCAGGGAGAGCAGGGAAGCTGGGCATCGGGTCGGCCAGGTGCTCATGATGACACTCAGACCCTCCCTGGTACCCAGCCACAGTGCAGTGGGCGAGAAGGGGGTTCTCTGGGCACAGATAGATCCTGAGGTTCCCCTGGGCAATCAACCCTGCACAGCCCAGATTGGCCACCCGGGGGCCCTATGCACCCTGAGCCTGGAAGAGCTCCCCTGCCTCTCCTGGCCCCCAATTCATACCTTCATTTTGGGCCGCAGGAACCCATTGTGCTCCCCAGCTGGGGGCCCCTCCCCGGGGAGCTGGGCAGCCGTGTAGCTTGGATCTCGCAGGGTCAGGTCCAGGGGCATCGGATACGAGGGGGCTTCAGCCACCGAGGGCTCCAAGTCCTTGCCCAGGGCACAGCCCCCCAGGCAGACTAGGAGAAAGCAGAGGGGAGGGTTATAGGGAGGGCTTTGCTCCCTAAGATCTGGGGTGAGGGGTACAGGCAGTGGAGGGTGGGAATCAGGCCCGTTCCACCAAGGCCATATGGTAGATGAGCCACCTGGGCTCCGCATGGCCCCATGAGCTTGCAAGCCCCCTCGCCCCCAGCCGGCCTCACCCATCATCCACCGGACCCACACCGCATGCAACAGGGGGGTGATGCCCCAGCAGTGGGGAGTTTCCAGGGGATTCCCCATTCCCCCAGCAGGCTTGCCACCCCACCCTCAAGCCCAGTGTTCACTGTCTTCCCTCCCCGCCCCCGGCCCCCCCAATCAGAATGGAACAAGGTGAAAGAGGCACCAGGTGGCGTCACCCGCATGGGGCAGTCATTGGCTTGTTCGCACTCCCCCCCCCCCCCGAAGGGCAGCAGCCACGGACTGGGGAGGGGGTCAGCCTGGCAGCCTGGAGAGAGGGGGGAGCCAGGCTAGGGTCATGGCAACACAGGAGGAACCCCACACCCACACCCAGTCCCCACCCCACGAGCCAGCCAGTCCCCCACCTGTACAATGGATCAGAGCCAGTGCCCCCTAGAGGAGAAGGGCTCCCATATCCCTTTCCCCACCCAGATTGGAGCCAGTGCCCCCCAGAGGGGAACCTCCCTGTACCCCATTGCCTAGCGCTGCAGTAAACAAGCCCCTGGAACCGGTTCCCCGAGATGTTATTGAAAAGTCTGGCCCAGCCCAGCTGGTTAATTGAGTGTTTCCACCTGGGTGTCACCTGCCCCTAGGCCAGCTGGGTGGGGGGAGAACTAGTCCAGCTAGCCAGTCACCCCAGCACTCCCCTCCCACTGCAGAACAGCCTCAATATATCTCCCCTGCCCCACAGGGTCCAGCCCCTCCAAGTTTTTTGTCCTGCAGCCCACCACCATAGCATCCCGGCACCTTCCACATGAAACCAATAGCAACACAAAGGTCCTGAGTGGACTCTATGGAGTCTCTGGCCCTTCTCCCTTTACAGGGTCAGAACCCTGCATGGGGAAGGGGGTGATCAAATTGTGAGTGTCACTGAGAGCAGAAAGGCTCCATCAAAGAGCCTAGGCTGGATCCGGTGAGGGATTTCCAGGGGCGATAGGGAAGCATTAATGCCCCTGGGCGAGGCACTGGGAAGAGCTCAGCGGGAACACCGTGTGCAGTTCTGGTCACCCGTGTTCAGGAACAAGGGATCCAAACTGGCCCAGTGCAGAGAAGGGCTCCCAGGCTGATCAGGGGAGCAGAGAACTGATCTTACGAGAGGAGACTGAAAGGCTCGGCCTGTTTAGCCTGGCCTGGTGAAGGCTGAGCTGGCATCTGGTTGTGTCTATAAATATGGAAGGGAAAGGGCTACTGAAGCTAAAGGACAGTGTTGGACAAGAGCAAATGGGGATAAACTGGGAAGGAAGCAACTGAGGCTGGAGATAAGAAGGTTTCTACCCATCAGAGGTGAGATGTTCTGGAACAGCCTCCCCTTAGGAAGGGTGGAGGCAAAATAAATAATGCAAGAAGGCCACACTGGGTCAGACCAATGGTCCATCTAGCCCCGTATCCTGTCTCTGATAGCGGCCCGTTCCAGATGCTTCTGAGGGAATGAACAGAACAGGGCAATTTCAAGTGATCCATCCCCTGTCATTCAGTCCCAGCTTCTGGCCGTCGGAGACTAGGGACACCAAGAGCACAGGGCTGCATCCTGACCATCTTGGCTGATAGCCATTGATGGACCCGTCCTCCAGGAACTTACCTAATTCTTTTTTGAACCCAGTTAGACTTTTGGCCTTCACAACATCCTCTGGCAAGGAGTTCCACAGGCTGACTGTACATTGTGTGAAGAAATACGGCCTTGCATTTGTTTCAAACCTGCTGCCTGTTACTTTGTTGGGTGACCTCTGGTCCTTGTGTTATGGGAAGGGGTAAATAATTCAGGATTTTATAGACCTCTTTCACATCCCCCCCTTAGTTATCTCTTTTCTAAACTGAACAAACACCAGCTTTTTAATCTCTCCTCATAGGAAAGCTGCTCCATCCCCCTCATCATTTTCATTGCTCTTCTCTGTTCCTTTTTCAATTCTAACGTCTCTTTTTTGAGTTGGGGGTGAGCAGAATGGCATGCAGGATTCAAGGCGTGGGCGTCCCAGGGCTTTCTCCAGTGGGATTATGATATTTTCTGTCTTATTACCGCACCCTTTTCTAATGGGTCCTAACATTCGCGGAGCATTTTTGACTCCCACTGTCCCTTGAGCAGATGTTGTCAGGGAACTACCCGCAGTGACACCAAGGTCTTTTTCCTGAGCGGTAGCAGCTAATTTAAACCCCCCTCTTTTTGGGTGGATAGTTGGGCTTATGTTTTCCAGTGTGTGTTACTTTGCATTTACCAACGCCGAGAGCCCAGCCCAGCTGAGGATGGAGCTGGATGCATTTCTGTCAGGGGGGTGGATGGCTGTGATAGCAGGGCGTGGACACAACGGCGCAGGAGGTCCCTTTTAGCTGGTGTTGGCTTTGCAGCGTTTCCTAGAGCTGATCAGACTCCGGGCTAGCCTGGTCTCTGGAGGACGGTCGCACGGCTGGGTCCTCTCCCTGGAGAACGCTTTGTCCCCAGCTCACCTTCACACTGGGTGATGGGACCTGCACGTCCCAAGGAGTGCAGCACTCACTGCGGTTTATAGATCAGATACGGGCTTTGGTGCAGCTGGGGCATGATCCCCTAATTGCTTTGAAAATTAGGGATCAAGGCTTTAAACTGACCCCAGGAGTCAGCTGGGAGCCAGTGGAGGGACTCAAGCACAGACCTGAGCTATGGCTGCTTTCTGTACTGGCTGGAGCCTGTGCATCGTTCACTGAAGCTGGCCCCCGTGTGATCATCTAGTCTGACTTCCTGTAGGACCCAGGCCATAGGGCTTCCCTGCATTAATTCCTGGCTGAATTAAAGCAGATCCGGTGCTGCTGTGGAGGAGAGACAGGGATTATCTGGACCTCTGCCATGGAAAGTTCTGCATTTTCTCAAGTGGTTCGGCAGCGTTCTTCCTCGAGTGCTTGCTCATATCAATTCCAGTTAGGTACGTGCGTGCGCTGTGTGCACGGTTTCCCTAGCAGCTACCCGTCGGGCCGGCTGTGGAGCCCCCTGGAGTGGCACCGGTACAGAGCTCTATATACCACCCTGCAGCCGGACCCCCTTCAGCTTCTTCTTACCGCCAGTCTCTTGCTCGCAGGTGTCCCACAAATCCCTAGCTCTTCTGCTTATCTTTGTATATAGTTACCCATTGTTAGTTAAGTGTTTCTCTTCTAGTTGTTAATTGTAGTCTTTAACGGCTAGGGGGTTTTCCCCTTCACCAAGTGCCCTGCGGGGCCCTGGGGCATGCCGTCCCAGGGCGTCAAACCCTGGAGCTCCTGCGCCAAGCCTATGCCCACGGGCGACTCCCACGACTCCTGTCTCCGGTGTCTGGGAGCAGCCCATCAGGTAGACAAGTGGAAGATCTGCAAGGCCTTCAAGCCTCACACCAGAAAAGAGAGGGATATTCAATTGAAACAACTGCTCATGGAGTCAGCCCTCCGGTCGCAGCAGGACCCAGCCCCACGCGCTTCAGTGCGGAGCGCTCCTCCGAACGGCACCGAAAAAGGACTCAGCCTGCCTACCCAGGGGCCAGAGTTGCCGGCAAGAAGGAACTGAAGGGGGGCCGGGCCGGCAGGGTGGTATATAGAGCGCCACTCCAGGGGGCTCCACAGCCGGCCCGACGGGTAGCTGCTAGGGAAAAGTTTCCGACAGCCATGCACACATCACTCGCACACACCTAACTGGAATAGACATGAGCAACACAGCTGGAAGAGCAAGAGTTACAAAAAGGGTGAGTAACCGTTTTTTCCCCCACCAGCTCGCTGCACAATGGCCTGAAATTCTGACCCCTCTGCTAAAGTTGCTAGAAGCGGGGGCTATTCCTGGAGGCTTTCGCAGGGGGATCATTTATAAAGCCAGAGCTCTTCCTTCAACTTTTGTCTGCCACTGAACAATTACATCCTAATATGTATGCCCCTGGGGGCCAGGATTGTACAGCGCCAAGCACAACAGGGCCCAAATAGCCACCAGAGGACAGCAAAGCACATGTGTGGTCAGACATAGAAATATGGGGCTGACCTCGAGGCATCACCTAGTCCATCAGCCCTTGCTGAGGCAGGACCAAGGAAACCCCAACCATCTCTGACAGGTGTTTGTCCAACCTGGTCTTAAACCCCCTTCCCCCCCAAGGACAGTGCTGCTCCAACCTGCCTTGGGAGCCTGTTTGCAGGATCAGGGCCTGTGTGCACGTAAACAGATTCCAAAGGGAGAAGGAACCGCTGGGATCACCTAGTCTGACCTCCTGTGTAGCATAGGGAAGCCCTAGGACCTGTGTGAAAGCCAGGCTGAACCAGAGTAGATCTTCTAGAAAGCCAGCCAGTCTTGGTTTAAAAATGGCCAGTGATGGAGAATCTTTGGTCTGTTGTTCCAACGGTTAATTACCCTCATGGGTACCAATTTGCTCCTTATTTCCCATCTGAATTTGTCCAATGTCAGTTTCCAGCCATTGGATCTTGTTAGACCATTGTTAGATTGAGGAAACCCTTATCAAATGTTTCCTCTCCCCTCCACCCCCGGTAGGTAGTTATAGACTGGGATCAAGTCATCCCTTAACCTTTGCTGTGTTGAGCTAAATAGACAAAGCTCCTGGAGTCTCTCACTATGAGGCATGTTTTCCACATTTTTAATCATTCTGGTGGCTCTTCTCTGAGCCCTCTCCAATTTATCAGCATCCTTCTTGCATTGTGGCCACCAGAATGGGACACAGGATTCCAGCAGTGGTCACACCAGTGCCACATACAGAGGTAACAGAACCTCCCTAATCCTACATGAGCTTCCCTTGTTTATACAGTCAGGGGTTGCATTAGCCTTGCACTGAGAGCTCATGTTCAGCTGATTAGCCACCAGGACACCCCTTTCCCAAACCTTTCTCAGAGTCACTGGTCCCCAGCATAGAGTCCCCTCTCCTGTAAGTATGGCTGCAGTCTTGGTTCCTCGCTGTATAGGTTTATATTTGGCTCAGCTGAAATGCGTATTGTTTACGAAGTGATCCAGATAGCTCTGTAGCAGTGACTTATCCTCTTCATTATTCCCCGCTCCCCACTCTCCATCTGTCTGCGCAAGCGTCATTAGTAATGATTTTTTGTTTTCTTTGAGGTCCTTGATAAATGTCAGAAAGCACAGCACCAAGAACCAATCCTAGTGGGACCCCACTAGAAACACCTCTTCAATGCTGAGTCCCTGTTTAGTTACATTTCGGGACCTATCAGCTGACCCACTGTCAATCCATTCCAGGGGCCATATTGATCTGGTATCATTCTAGTTTGTTTTAACCTCACAATAGCATGTGACACCCAAACAAATGCTTTACTGAAATCTACATCTATTACATCACCCCTATGGCCTTTATCAACCAAACTTGTAATCACACCAAAAGAGATATCAAGTTAGTTTGACAGGATCAGGTTCGCCATAAACCCAGGTTGACTGGCATTCATTATCTCCTGCATCAGTCACTCCTTATCTTGCCCAGGAATGACATCAGGCTGACAGGCTTATAACTGCCTAGGTTGTAGAATATTGACTCTGGGAGAGCAGTGCTGTGTAGCGGGTAAGAGCGGGCAGGGCTAGGAGTCAGGACTCCTGGGTCATCTGTGCTATCTCTACCTCGTGGTTCCTTGCCCTGAGAAAGGAGGGCAGGGGTGAGGATCTAGTGCTGCTCACACGGTAAGGGTGAGGAGAGGGGATCAGCCCCTACCTTGCTGTGGCTTGGAATGGAGCGGCCAGCGCTTAAGACAAAGGGGAGAGCCAGGAATACAGGCTGCAGGGGGCAGACAACACTGCTGTCCCCCAGGGAATTCCCCAGGAACGGATGCTGGGATTCACCTTTCCCCTCCCCCCCCAACATTGGAGCATGGGCCAGGAGCACCGGGTCAGAGATAGGATGCACACGGCCCCCAGAGCCTGTGACATGTAGGGGCCTCCCTGGCCCTGGCTTACTTGCAGACCCTGGTAGCCATCTGATCTCTCCCACAAACAATGAGAGACAGCCCCTGCTCCCAAGAGCTCATAGTGTAAACAGCCAAAGGATGGGAGGGGAAACAAAGGCCCAGAGAGGAAACTTTGCCCAGGGTCAGTGGCAGAGCTGGGAATAGAACCCAGGTGTCCTTAGTCCCAGTGTCCGATCAGCTGGTCCCACGTGCAGAGACAGCTTCCAGGAGCAGCACTTCCCCCTACACCTGCTGTGCTAATGGGATCACTGGCACCCACACTTCTGATGCCCTCCCTTGAGCCTCCCAATCATATCACGGCCTGATTTAGTCATGCCAGAATTCATGAGGGAAAGGCGGGACCAGGATTCAGCCCTCCCTCCACTCCCAGAGCTGGGATAGAACCCAGGAGTCCTGGCGCCCAGCCCCCTCTACAAGTGTCTAACCTGCACTGGTTGATATTTAAGCCATTGGCTCCAAGGGGTGGTGCCAATTTGAAGGGACACCCCAGAGTAGGGCTGAAAGACTTATCTGATCAGAGGGGTCAGCAAAGCCTGACCCGTCAGGGGGATGAGACAGGGTTAAAGGGAATCGGGACCAGCCAATCAGTGAGTTAGTAATCTGTCTAGGGAGAAGTGGATACAGCTGGGACCCAGGACTCCTGGGTTCTATGCCAGCTCTGCCAGAAAGGGTCAATTTCTTTCCCCTCATTGGCTCTCCGTTTTCCCTCAGATCTCACATTGGCCCTGAGGACCAGGCAGGGCAGGGGGTGTCTAACTGAAATCAGGCCCTTTGGATTAGTTAATGACCCAGATGGACGCCAGGTTCTGCCAGGAATCAGCAGGTTGGAATCCACAGACAGCTACTCACAGAGCATCTGGGTATTAATTACCAGCTAATTACAGACTCCAGGGCCAGGCACTCCCAGGTGGGGTGCTAATGCACACTCCCTGCGTGCTGCAGGGTGGGTCATGAGCCAGGTACTCAGTATCCCGTTGATTTCATTGGGGGTCCTTGCTCACCAGCCCTGATTCCCCTCCCACCATCAGATTTACAGGTCCCCTTGCTCTGATCATCTCCTGCAGCCCTCATGGCCTCTATCCCCAGTTCTGGGAGAGGAGTGGGGTCTAGTGGTTTGAGCCCATTGCCTATTGCCCATCAGGGGGCAAAAGTGACAGAAGTGATATAGAGATCAGTCTCCTCTCCCCCCATTGAGGAGCTGGGGGAGCTCCCTGCTGGAGGGAGCTCTCCCTGCCACCAATCTGGGGAGACACCCAAATTCAAAGGGGTGCTCCGGTGGCACCAGCAGGGGAAGGATCTGACCTGGACCCAACCAAAAATAAGTGACATCCAAGTTTACAGTCAAGCGCTTATGGCACCAGACTGGGTTCTAGCCCCAGCTCTGACTTGCTGCCAGACATGTGGCAAATCCCTTAATCTACCCCAACAGCCATAGATTTAAAGGGACCTTTAGACCCTCTAGTCACCCCTGCACTGAGCTCAGTTACTTGTGTTTGACTAAAGCATGTTCCCAAAAGGCATCCAGGCTTCTCCAAGAGATGGAGATGCCACCACATGCCTTGGCCATTTGTTCCAATGTTAATCACTCTCACACTTAAACACCTGGGGCCTCCTTTCTCACTTGAAGGTGTTTGGCTTTAACCCACACATGGGTTCTTGTTCTGCCTCTCACAGCTAGATTAAAGACTTTTCAGTACACTGTTTGCTCTTAGACACTGTCATCAAGTTACCGCTCAAGGTTCTTTTTGAGAAGTTAAATCAGATTGCCTTCCAGCGAGAGGCTTGAGCTCATGTTCTCCAGCCTTTGAGTTTAAGGTTGGTCTGGATTCTAGACAGGTTGAACAGGTAGAATAGGCCCAAGCTAGGATTTCTTTGCTTGCATGGGATTCTTTTTTAAAAAAAGAAAAAAACCCATTCAATTAAACTTTGAGACCATTCAATTAAACTGGTTTCTAAAGCTCCATTCACTGGAGCATTCAGACCCAGCACCCTGCACTCACAGATCAAAGATATTTCACTAGCCTCCAGAAGAAAAACACTCTCCCAGTACCTGTCTAGCCCACCATCACAGAGGTACCTGGGTGCCTCACTGTCTAGAATCTCTCCCACACACACACCTTGAGTGCTATCACCCCCATTTTACAGATGGGGAAACAGAGGCACAGAGAAGCTAAGTGACTTGCCCAATGTCACAGGGGAAGTCTGTGGCAGAGCAAGGAATTGAACCCAGGTTTCCCAAGTCCTAGGCTAGTGCCCTAACCACAGCACCAGCCTTGCTCTTTAAAATGTACTAGCTGGCAAAACATCTCTTAGAATTAAAGCTATGGCAGGGCTTCCTAGTGGCTTGAGCAGAGTAAACCCAGGAGTCCTGACTTCTAGTCTCATTCCCAGCTCTGTGAAGGAAGTGGAGTCTAGGGTTAGGAAGCGGGGCTGAAAGTCCAGACCCCTGGATTCTATTCTCAGCTCAAAGGGGGGAGTGGGGTCCAGTGGTTAGATGGAGTCAGGACTCTGGGATCCTTCCCAAGAAGGGTGACAGTACAATTGGTTCTGGTGTTCCTGACTTGGCAGTTGTAGCACTCCCGGGCCCTGCCCCCCTCACAGCTGGGAGCCAGCATCCCCACACACCTCCCAGCCCCTCAGCTAACAAACAAGCCAATCCCAAGAGGGAGTTTAAACATTAAAAGCCACTTCCCAATCATGGCCGCTGGAGTTCTGCATAACTGCGCTTCCCCCACTGCCCCAGCAGGCACCGCCCGGGGGCTCCCCGGGCTGAATGGCCAGGAGAGGAAATGGGAGGCTGGCCTGGCAAAGAGTCCCAGGGGAAGAGCAGTGCCCAGAAAATGCTGATTGGAAACCCTCGTGGGTCCCTATTGGGATCCTGGCTCCAGGCCCTAGACACACGCACAGGCTGCCATCGGCAGATCAGTTAAGGAAATGAGCTGGGTCCAAAGGTCACCCTCCTGGAATCCGACTCCCGGCACCAAGAAACCGTTGCGGGCTGTTCCGTGCAGAGAGGGAGCACGAATCATCGGCCCCCACATTCCAGCCGGCCTGGAGCTGTATGTCAGGGAACTGCCATTACTTTGTGTGGCAAGCCCCACTCCCACCAGGCCAAGCCACTTCACCTGGTTCCCCAGCGCTGCTGTCCCCAGCCTCCTGTGCTGAGCTTTGAACAGGTGACTTGCCACTCCAGCAGCCGGCACGGTTGTGTGCTATCCACAAGCACGAATGGCAATATTTCAAAGAGCTGTAATCTCCAGCAAGGAAGGCTGGTCTAGCGGTTAGGGCTCTTGCCTCGGGAGACGAGTTAAATTCCCTCTCCGCCACAGAACCCCCCCCCCCTTCTCCCTTAGGACCTTGGCAAGTCACTTAGCCTCTCTGTGCTTCACTTTCCCTTTCTGAGCAATGGGCATGATTGCCCTGTCCTGTCTCCCTTGAGGGCTGTGAGGTGCTCAGATTGCAGGTGCTGGGGGCAGATAAGTATCTGCACAGATCTAGCATCCTTCCTCCAATCAGACTCACCTGGTACATAGATCTCTCCTCTCTCTTCATCAGGCAATTCACTCCAGTTCCTCTTGCCCACAGACACACGGGATTTTTTCACTAAGAAAGCCCGAGGCATCTCCGAGATCAATTAAATTGCCTGGGATTCTTAAACAGATCAATAAATAAATACCAAGGCTTCTGCCTCTTAGCATAAAAACAGGGACAAACTTTCACCCAACTTGGGAAGGGGTTTTTCCTTTCAAATAAAATAAAATAAAATAAGTCAGCAGCAAGAGGGATTTCCAGGGAGCAGGTGACGTTGCAAGGAGAGCAGCGAACAAAAGTTTCCTCAACGTTCTAGGATGGAACCTTACAACAAGCCAGGCCCGCAGCGCCCTGGGGATGGACCGCTGGGTCCTGGTCGGTTTCACCCAGCGCCGTTCTTCGCGCGCAGCCTGCGCTCCGGTCAGTTTCAGCCTCCCAGCAGGTACAGCCGCTGAAGTGGCGGGGGAAGCGACCGGGGCGGGCTACGGAGCAGGCAGGCTCCCCGGGTTCTCCGCTAACCGCTCCCCTGCCGGGAGAGCCAGGACTTTTGCGGGCTCCGATCCGGAGGGACAGATCGGATCGGGAAGGGGAAAGAACTGTACCTGCGCTGAGCTCATTAGCGAGTTTGTTTTTGAAGGAGGGGGTGGGGATGGCGCATGCGTTTGGAAATAACGGTGTCACCCACCTGTGCGCTACCTGCCCAACCGGTTCCCTGCCAGGAGGAGATTGTGTGTCACCCACTGCTGGGGGCGCCCCCCCTTTGTTTTCTTGATGCTTCAGCGTGTCCGAAGTGGGAGCCGCTTGGGGCGGGGGCTTGACCAGGGGCGTGAACACACACTCCTGGAGGGAGTGCAGCGGGAGGCAGAGCAGAGAGGAGGAGGTGCAGTGAACACGCTGTGCTCGTGAGTGCCGATCAGTCCAACCCAGGTTGACCCGAACAACTGGACCTTGATGCCATTGAATTTAACACCAGGAAAGGTATTTTCTTGGTCCAGGTCCGTGATTGGCCGTAAGGACCTGGCCACACTCCAGGTGTTTTAAACCAGTGTCGCTCCTCCCCTCTCCCGCCCCCCGTCCCAGTGTATCACACACACACACCCCCCCAATGCGCACAACACTGGACTGGTGTGAACAGCAACTTACACTGCATTGGCCTGGTGGTGGAGGTACTGCACCAGAATTCATAGTGAGTCGCACTAGTGTGACCCTCTAGTGTGCATGTGCCAAGGTGGTTTGCATGAGTGTGATCTGGTGCAAAAAACACCTGCACTAATGCACCCACGTAGGTGCAAGGACTCACTCTGAGATTTTCCATCAACTAACAGGCCAGATCTCACTGGGCGGTCCCCAGGACCCCAAGCCTAACTCTCAGTGGCTGGCACAGGGTTCTGTCCATGCCTAGGAGATGGCAGAATCAAGGAGGAGGCCTGGTTTCATGGCTGCCCGACCAGGGACACCTTGCACCTGATCACTAGCGGCACCGAGCTCCCATAACCCCACCTTGCTCTCCTCTCATTTAGGCATGGAAATAAGCTGCTGAGATCTCTCCACAGGGCTCCGCGTCCCCATCTCTTACGACAATCCCCCCAAAATGAGACCTGGCTGGTGGTACGGATCCCTGTGCAAAATCCACCCCCTCAATTGTGGGGCACTGAAGCCCTGGGAATCAGGCCTCAGATGTCTCAGGGTTCCTGCAGCCAACAATAGATGTTAGTCCCAAGAGCCCCAGGGGAAGGGGTGGGAAAGAGAAGCTGCGCTGTTTATTCCGGGGTGCAGCTCAGCTCCATCTGGAGGCGTCTGCTCCTGTTTCAAGGGACAAGTCAGCGGGGTGGTGCAGGTTGCGTTGGAGGGGAATGTCAGCACGGTGTGGGTTCGCTGGCTGGACGTTAGCCAGGCTGCACTTAGCCAGGCCGGAAAAGCAACTTGGCAGGAAACTTTTAGACTGGAAAGACTGGAAGGGGGGTCATCCAGGCCAGCCCCCTGCCTTCATGGCAAGACTAAGAATGAATGAATTCCCTCACTGAGACACACGCGTCGGGAGGGCGTCTGCAAAGGTCCATGGAGCAAATTTTAATGCGCAGGATGTTGAGAGTTCAGATCCCGTACACTACCCCAGCAGTTCTCTCCCTCCCGCATGGAAATAGAAGCAGGCACATCCCAGGTCTCCAAAGCCCTGAGTCTGAACGTGTAGGGGGGAGTTTTGAGGGAAGGGTGTGAAGGGAGGAGTGTTTTGCGGGGGAATATATGGGACTGGGGGATGAGATGTTCTGGAGTGAGTGGCTGGGGTAAGCAAGGGATTGTGGGGGAAGTTGGGGTGGCATTTTGAGAGGCTTTGGGGGAGAGTTAGAGGAGGGAAGGCTGGGAGTCTGGGCTTCCGGGCTCTATCCCTGGTTCTGGGAAGAGAGTGGGTCCCCGTGGTAGAACAGAGGGGGCTGAGGCTCGGGACCCCGGGTTCTATTCCTTGCCCTAAGAGGGAGTGGGGTTAATTGGGCTAGAACAGGGGGGCTGGGAGCCAGGACCCCTGGGTTCTGTTCCCAGCTCCGGGAGGAGAGTGGGAGAAGCAGGAGGTAGTGAAAAGCTTTAGCCATGCTCCACCCATCATAGCACTTAAAGCCATGTAGCCCCTCCTAACCACGTGTCCCCAGCTTCTGCCCCACCTCCCCGAGCGGCTGCTTCGTGCGGCCCAGCAGATTCCCCCGCCTGGGAGCGGGGAGGAACAGTTTGTGATTCACCCGCTGCTCAGGAGAGCCGGAGCGTCGGGCGGGTGCTGGAAGCCAACGCCGGGCGGGTGCGGGGGGAGTGGGGACGAGAACCGCGGGCCCCGCTAGGCCCAGCTCCAAAGAATCTTAATTGCAGCCGGCTTGGCACCTGTCGGCTGAGATGCTCCTGGCACACGCAGCACATTCCTGGGGCCAGGAGTCCCGCAAGCCAGGCCCTGACACACATAAACCTGGGAGCGGAACACATGCACTGCAAGGGCTGCTGGCTCAAATCCAGGTCCAGGAGGTGGGGACTGGCTGGCTCAGAGAGGTGGGGGATGGGACACTGCCTCTCCCTTACCAACTTGGGGTTGGATGGGAACTGGTGCCTCCTAGAGGGGAAAGACCCCATTCCCTCCTCCTTCCACCCTGAATTGGAGCAACAGGCCCAGAATATGTGCCCCTTCTCTGGGTGGGGAAGGTAGGGACCCATTAATTATCTGTCCAGCCCGCTCAGGACTAGTACCAAGGAAAAGTGTGAGGCCTGAAACATATAATTATCCTGCCTATGTTTCCTGTAGTGGTCCTGTCCCACAACACGCCAGAGAGGGGCAGAGATCACCCCACCCACAGCTGCAATGCGGCCAGCCCTGGGGTGGAACGCACTGGAGCCGGGGAGGAGTGTAACAGCACACGGCAACGGCGGCTGGGGGCGGAGGCGGGAAGAGATGGTCCAGGTTCCGCCTGAACTTGGGCCGCAGAGAGGCAGACCCAAGTCAACAGAGTAGGGGTTTGGCCAGGACACTGGAGTTCGCACCCCAGCATGCGGGGAAAGTGCCAGGAGGTTTCACAGCCATACGTGGGGCAGTGTAAGGGTTTTACGTCTCCCTTGAGTCAGTGAATCACAGTGACCCCATGAAGTGGAGAGCCCCCCCCCCGTACTGAGCTCCCCTCTGGTGCTGCACTGGGGCATTGGGGTCATCACCGGCTGTGAGAGGAGGGTACCCCAATGAGCCCTCCACCGCACTCCCTGAAGCACAGCGGCCCTTCGCACTGCTGTTGACCATTGGGGCCAGCGGTGACTGCGAAGGGAGAGCACCCGCTACCCACTCCCTGCAGCTCCCTTGCAGGTCTCCCCTCCCATCCCAACTGAAACCAGTCCTGCTTAGCATGCCATCTCCAGGCATCCCAGCATAGGCAGGGCTCCCGCTTCCTCCTGAGCCTCAGCCCACAGGCAAAGCGGATGTCAGCATGTCTGGGATGTGGGAAACACCCAGGGCCAGGCAGGTGGTGCCAGCCCAACGGGTTCAACCAAATCCCCGGGTGAATAACCTCAGGGAGGAGAAGACAACAAACAGGAATTCTGGGATGACAGCGTACCTAGTGGTTAGGGGTGGAGCGAGGCCTCCTGGGGTTTAGCCTTGCTCCCGGCCGGGGGCTGTGAGGCAGAACCCCTGAATTCCATGCCTCAGTTTCCCCTCGCTCCATTGAGGGGATTCTCCTGGCTGGGCGGTTTGATTGGCCGGTTTCCGTGGGCACCAAGCTATGAGGCTGGTGATGATGAGCCGGGCTGGGCACTGCCCAGGCTCGTGGCACAGCCACTGCAGCACATAGCCTGGGTCTATAACATGCCTTCAAAGACCTTAGCTAATTAACCCACAGGTGAAGCAGCATCAAAACCACTCACACAGAGAAACTGAGGCACCGCCACTTCCTCGGAGCCAGCCCAAGAATCAGGGCAGGAGGAGACACAACTCAGTTCTCACTCCCAGCCCCCACAAACCAGTAGGCTCCCCTCCCCTCCCACAGCTGCAAATAGAACCCAGGTGTCCTGGCTCTCAGCCAGGCTCTCTGGGCTGGGGTGCTCCCAAAATCCCAGCTGGAGTTTCGACCTGGCTATTTCCTGGTGTTGGGACGCGTCCCAGCCTCAGCCCCAGGGGGGGATGAGTCTCGTGGCAGGGATGGGGCAGACGCGGGGGAACCAGTCTGGATGTGGACGGGAGGGGTGCGGCCGGAACCAGGGGGGTGAGAGGGTTGTCCCTAGCTCTGCCACTGACTCACTGGTGATCCTTCCCGCTCCTTGCCTCAGTTTCCCCATCTGCTCATGGGGATGGCGTCTCTGAGAGGCTGCCCAGAGACACTGAATAGCTCCAGATGGATCCATGTTTAAGATACACCACCAGCGCTTTTCATCCCCTGCCCAGGGCTGAGATGCAGCCGCCTCGGGGCTGTTTAACAATTCACAGTAACATCACATAACAGTTCTGGACAGGAAGCGAAAAAGAATTTTGTATCCGATTGAAACTGCAGCGTTTATTAAGACAGGCTATAGACCACAGAGGTGGAATTTGTCTGGGCCCTGGGCTGAAGTACCCTGCTCTAACCACTAGCC